GTCAAATGCTTTGGCAAAATCGAGGTACAATGCATCCACTGGCTCCCTTTCGTCCAGCAGGCGAGTCCAATCGTTCAACGTAGATAATAAGTTAGTGGTGCAGGATCTACCGGCAATGAAACCATGTTGACAATAAAACCATGTTGTTGACAAAAAAACATGCATACGAATATACAAAAACTGATGCAGCAAATGAACCAGTCGACATGCATTGTTTCATTTTCCAACCTACATCAAAATTTATTTTCTCTTTAAACCCGAGATTGGTCGTTCTCTAGTGTTTGACTTAGTGGAGGCAAATCTTCAGGTTTCGGAATAATTCTATCCACGACCTTGTTAATTTGATGGCCAACCACAAATATATATTTTTCCGAGTTAAGCGTCGGAATGAACCGAAGCTCCTTCTACCGACTCCAGGAACCTGTCGCCCAAAACTTTTTCTTTTTCTTTAATTGGAATTTATGGGAGCCTCTGAAGACTGGTTCAATGCGGCCCCATGTCAGAACAGTTGAAGGAACTTAACTGAATTATGTTTTCATGTACAAAATTGGGCGTCTCGAAAAAAAAACTCAAGATTTCTCAATGGCTGAAGGGCTACAGAACGGGGCCACCAAAGTAGGGACGACACCGGGGCAGAAAGCCCCACTCCAGGGCAGATAGCCCCACTCTAGGGGATAGCCCCACTCTACGGGATAGCCCCACTCTAGGGCAGATAACCCCACTCCAGGGCAGATAGCCCCACTCCAGGGCAGAACTCACCTGGGGACACTAACCACTACCTGGGGACACTAACCACTCACCTGGGGGTACTAACCACACATGGAGGCATCTTAAAATCTTTGTAACGAAATTTGGCAGTTAGATGCCGAGAGCATTTATAGGTGTACAGAACTTCAGAAGTTAAATTTCAATTTAGCTGGTCGTACCATGGCATCCGCCGGCTCAACGCCTCGGAGCGGGACAGTACGGCATTTTCAAAGTTCGAGAAAGATAGTTCTAGATTCTAGAAAGATGACGTAGCAGCCGGCCGAAGCCGGCTACTGTCACGGAAGCTCAGCACAAGGAACCTCTTGCCTCAACGGTTTCAACGGTTAGAACAGAACTCGTCGCCCAAAACTTCATTTTCTCGTCGACGAAAACGTGAAGTCACGGACGGACAGACAGACGGACGGACGGGCGGACGGACAGACGGACATGGCGAGCACAATAGTGCATTTTTTCCATAAATGAGAAAATGCGCTAAAAATGGAACATATGAATTTCAACGGAAATATTTTTGTTAAATTCGCTGTTGGAGAGAACAATTGCTTAGAATATAACACTCGCAGTCGAGACTACACGCGCTGGTGCCAGCTACGCGATTCTTCTTCGCTGGTGCGGCGTTTGTGTGTGTCACCTAATGCTGCTATTTGCTTGTGAATAATCATTGCGGTTGATAACACTTCTTGTATACCAGAGAATATAAACGCATTACTGTGCTGAAGGCTTCAAATTAGTTGACATTTATCGAAAAATCCGTGAAGTTTATCGTGAAAACATTACGACTGATGGAATAATGCAGAACGGGTTAGAGCCTACATAGATGGGCCCAAACATTCATGATGAGGAAGGAAGTAGGAGACGTTTAGTAAATTATACATAGTTGTTTATGAGGATCGCTGGTATTAGGAGCTTCCTGTTGTTGAAACTCATAGTCATTTATATATGCTGCAATGGCACACCTAAGTTTCCTTCGCAGGGTGGCCCAGTGGTTAAAGTTCAGAGCACCAAGATTGGCGCAGCGAGGCGCGGGTTCGATCTCAGCTTCTGTGCGTCAGTTTCTGGTCAGAATCGGCAAGGAGGCCGGGCGGTCAAGCACAGCAGAATTGTAGCAGTGAGTTGCGAGTTCGAGACCGCAAAATGCTGTGAATGTTCTGCGATGTTAAGAATCGGCGACAGGCCTACGGCCTAATAACGCTGAAACCGCTATTATTATTTATTATTATTATTATAAAAATATTATATCACAGCATGTGTCGGCCGTATGAAAAAAATTGCAAAGCCGACGTTGTACGCACGGGCTTGTGCGTGAAAGTGTCACGCATTTTTAGCCCGTTTCTCATTTATGGAAAAAATGCACTATTGTGCTCGCCATGTCCGTCTATCCGTCCGTCCGTCCGTCTGTCTGTCCGTCTGTCTGTCCGTCGGTGACTTCACGTTTTCGTCGACGAGAAAATGCGCTCTCTGTCACTCACTGCAGTGAGTACTGAGTTATATTTTTTATTATATACATGATATATCCACGTCGGAAATATTGTCGTGCCAGTCAATAATTTCAGAATGAATTTTAGGGCAAACTTGCTACATGAGTTTTTCAAAAAATTAAATTTCAAGACGAAGATGAAATTTAAATTTATGAACAAAATGAAACAAAATAAATTTTAGGATGAACCTGCTATCTGAACCCCAAAAAAAAAATTTTCAACGTTGCTGAAAATGTATGATTCACACCAAATCCCTGCTCTTAGTCACCTCCATGACACAGGTGCTACAACCAGCTCCATATTGACTGACAAATGCTGGGTTCAAATACACGGCAGTGGTGAATGTTGGTTGTGAAAATACTCCAGTTTTTCAAAACAAACCCAGCAAAAAAATGTGATGTGATAAAGAGCTGGTGGTGTTGATCGCTGTACATCAGCAGAAATTTAACATTTGATAAAGAAGACTTACCTTTTGATAAATTGGAAATTGAATAGACGATTTATTCTTCGGTGAAAAAAACAGTCATTGACAGAAGAAACATAGGAGCTCGTTAGAGAACAAAAGTTCCGTGACTTACAATCTCTGTTTAATATATATACATTCAATATTTAAATAAAATATATTCCATAAATATTTCAATTGTTGCACTATTTCCTTGCAATTTTTTTTGCTTATCATCTGAATAAAGTAAAGAGTTCAGGACTCTCTCCTGTAAAATTATTCATTTAGCAATATAAGAATAATTAACATTAGATTGAAGTATTGAAAATCATTTATAAAACATCCCCGGCAAAAAATATGAAGACGGCAGCGTGGTCGTGAAGGAAAGATTTATTGCAGAGCATACAATGTAATCTGGACAGTTTGTTAAGTCAAGAGCGTTTGTGGATGTCCAGATAATAGTTAATTTTTGAAGAGAGATTTATTGCTTGTTAGAGCCTATCGCCAAGATCGAACCGACGTTCGCTTCATTTACTTTCATTGTTGATGGGAAACTCAAGTAATCGAAGAGACAAACATTCTGGAGAACGAAAGTTTGTGAAATGATTTGGTCGAAGCGAAAAGTAATCAAAATTTATCAAAGTCGAAAATTGACGGCGTGACATCCATTCTGCGAGCCATTATCTCGTGTAACTAAAGTTATCGAAATGACAAACATTCTGGAAGTCGAGAGTTTGTCTCCTAACGAGGCTGGTAGTCCAGAAAATTGTCTTATCAAATAAATGTACACACCACATAATCTGTGACATATTGACTAGCAATTATGAAGAATAAGTTCTCGTATTCTGTCGTGTTGTAGTGGAGGATGGAGCAGGTATTCGAAGTTTAGGTGGCAGATGCCCCATCAGTGATCCTGAAAGTTAGTTGAATTATTCTGAAAATACGCAGAATTAATTTGTCGAAATACGTCGATATTAAGCAGTTAAGCTAATAAGCAGTTTAATTAGAAGTGAGCTAATTAATCAATGAACTTTTTTGATCCCGTTATTCCGAATCCCGTCATTCCTGTTCTCACTATACCCGTTAATGCTAATAAATAAGCTTTTGAGTTATTTAAGTTACACTTCATTTCTCGAATTCAATGAAAACATTATAATCTCACTTTAATCTTGATCTTTTGAAATCCATAACGTAGAGTGCTCACGTAAAGAAAGGTCGATAGTTTTAGCACTGACTTGTAGAATGCGATGCTCTGCAATAAGAAGGAAGCTGCCTACTAAATAACTCGACGGAATTATCAAATGTGTCGGTAATTGAATGTTTCCCGAAATTATATTTTACTGAAAATTTAGTTCGTGATTTTTAGCATTATCATGATTTTTGATATAACTATTCCCCCAATGGCCAATTAAAACCGGATTCAGCATACTCCGTTGTTCGTTACCATACCATCATTAACGATGAGCAAAAAATAAAATAAAATAGAAATTTAATTAAATTGCTTATAATATCGAACCTTATGGATGTTTAATATACATTATAAGAAATTTTCATTTTTTTAATATTTTTCTGCTAAACATTTACCAATTAATAATAATATTGCTATGATAATATCCAATAAAAAAATACTATTTAACCGTCGCTGGCATTAATTTTGATTTTCGTGTTACCTTGTCTGTCTTAAATTTCTTCTTTATTAAAAAATTACAAATCATGCAGATTTCAATACAAAAGGCAATCATCGTGTCACAGACGAATTTTGTAGAAACATCGATGAATGAAAATGGCACAAATTAACGATCATAATAACTGGAAGTGAAATGATTGTTGCGATATATTTTTGATACAAGATGTCCTTGATTTGCATAATGGCGAATTCTATGATCGCATATGAGACGATAAATGGGCGATATGAAGCAGGGTAATGCTGGTAGAATAAAGAACATAATTTAAATAATAATAATTATGAATAAATAATACATAATAATTCTTATAAATAAAATATATTAAGTTACTAATACGATCATATTTCAAATTATATTAATATGATACTTGTGTATCTATAACACATCGACGTAACTTAGTTACGTCTCTGCCTTCTTGTTCGTTTCGGCTAAATTATGATTCATTAAACATTACAAATAATTATTGTTTATATATTATTTTGCCTGATATTTTACTCTTATAATTCACTTCGTCCATTTTTCCTTTCCCTCTTTCCCCCTCAAAATTTCCTCACCCTCTCCCTCCTCTTCCTAGTGAGGGTATAAATAGAGCGTGCGTCCAGCCATGCCCTCAGTAGCAGACGTGTTCCCTCAAGCGCCGGTCAAGGTGTGTCATCAATTTCTCTAATACACTCACATATATGATTGGTTTACATTGCCCAAAAAGTGATTTCCCATTAATTTGTGATTTGCAATTGTACTAAATTTAATTTGTAAAATTTCCCAATGAACTGTGTATTTGAAATTAATCTAATTATTATAATAAAATTTTAATTTAAAATATTCATAATTTTATTAAATAAATTTAATTTAAATAAATTGAATTATAAATTACAATTACAATAAGGTTTCAGTGCATGTGTTAAATAAGAATTAACTGTTAAATGTGTTAGATTATGCCCTGCTTCTAAACTCTCAAGTTTAAGTCTTATTTCAAATAGCTGCCAAGCTATTTGAAATAAATAAAAATAAGTCATTAATTTTTCAATAAATTACCAAATCTCGAGGATAAAATTATTATTTTATAATTATTACTGAATAGTCAACGACGATAATGTTGAATTATTATATAGTATATTATTATTATAATTGTTATATTAGTATAAGTAATAATAATAATATCAGATGTTATAGTTAAAATGGTAATACTGTTACTATTAATGATATTGTCATTATTTTTACTATCATCATTAAGATATTAACTTCATTTATAGCAGTCACTATGATGGCACTCAAGATGGTCCGAGGGGCGCCGCCCCAAGCGCTGCTGGCGCTCTGCCTCACCTGCTGCGTGGCGCCTCTCAGCGCCGCCCCGCCGCTGCAGGTAACATTCCAGGCTAGTCCGGCTCATGTTCCTGTCTCTTCTGGCTCTTGTTCTGGCTCTTGTTCTGGCTCTTGTTCTGGCTCTTTTTCTGGCTCTTGTTCTGGCTCTTGTTCTGGCTCTTGTTCTGACTTAAAATCAAATTAACTACATTTTAGTTAAAGTTTCATAATTAACTGCATGAACACTGTTCTCCTAAATTCGATGCTAAATCTTAAAGCAAGAATGCCAATATAAACAGAAATATCTCTTCTCTACTATATAAAACACTGAAATTTTTTCTTCTAGATAGAAGGATATTTAATTTTCATAAAATTCATGTATCACTTTTATCTTGAAGTTTGAACGAAATTTTTTAAGAATTCAATCAATAACAAAATTTTGTTAAGTTTAGTAGATAGAATTTTTCAATTCAGATTTACTACTGTAAACTTCGAGGCTGGAGTGAAATTTGTATTTCATATTAATATCACTCGGTGATAATTCATTTATTAACATATAATAGATTTAGCGATTTACAATGTACAATGCTTATTACGGTATATAGGTGTACACAATATAGCGATATATATGACATAGCGGTTTATAAGATACGTTAATTGATAATCATGGCTGCATAGGATATGCACCTGGATGAATGTTGGTTTCAATGAAGAATACTAAAAGTTTAAATATATTTGATATAATGTCTTAAGAGTTTCTTTGTGCTTAATGCACGAACAAAGTATTAATTCCTGCAAACAAATAAAGTATTAATTTTTCCAGACAAAGAAGTATCAATTCATACAGACAAAAAAGTATCAATTTCTACAGAAAGATAAGATATGAAATTTTTACAGGGTGCGCCGCAACGCCTCGACGACGGGTATGTCCCGGTTGGGGACATCCTCTATTCTGCTGAGGACTGGGCCTGCTTGCACGCTAAAAACTTGATGTCAGTGGAACGTCTTTGGCCAAGAACAGAGGGAGAAGTGAAAATCCCATACATCATAACTTACAGTGAGTCCAGACAATCGCTGTAGCTCTTACTCAACTGGCTAGGCTGCTGTGCAAATCGGTCTAACCATATTCCATTTGATTTTAATTAGCTTGAAAGTAGATATTATTTTTGATAAAAATAAATAAACACAATTACGACACATATTCGGGTTAAGGTTGATACATAGCGACACATATTCGGGTTAATGTTGCTACATTGCGACACATATTCGGGTTAATGTTGCTATATATACATTACCCGGCTTACTTAATTAGAACTCATCAGCGCTAACTACACTCAAATAACGGGGGACACATGTGGGCTCCTATATAAATTAATTTATTCCCATACGCATATGCCACACCACGGTCGATTACGCCAATCCACTTACAATTTTTTCCTGAACGCTTGTGCTTATAAACATGCAACTCTTCTTTAATGAACAGTACGATGTATGGCAGGAAGTTCACATGACGATGTATGGCAGGAAGTTCACATGACGATGTATGGCAGGAAGTTCACATGACGATGTATGGCAGGAAGTTAACATGATGATGTATGGAAGGAAGTTCACATGATGATGTATGGCAGGAAGTTACCATGACGATGTATGGAAGGAAGTTAACAGGAGGATGTATGGAAGGAAGTTAACATGACGATGTATGGAAGGAAGTTCACACGACGATGTATGGTAGGAAGTTCACACGACGATGTAAAGAAGGAAGTTAACATGACGATGTATGGAAGGAAGTTAACAGGNAATGTATGGTAGGAAGTTAACATGGCGATGTATGGCAGGAAGTTAACATGATAATGTATGGCAGAGGAATTTAAAATGATGATATATGACAGAGGAAATGAACATGACGATGCTAGAAGAGGCCATCGGCGCCTGGGAGGCCAAAACCTGCATTAAGTTCCTCAAGATGGAGGAGGGCGACAAGCGTGCAGAGTACCTGGAGTTCAGGGCGGGAGGAGGCTGCTTCACGGTCACCGGCTACGTCGAGGGTGAAGTGACGGTCTCCATAGTCGATACGTGCAAGGTACGTGGCATGATGGTGAGGCTTGATGGTGGGGCATGATTGTGAGGGATGATGGTGAGGCATGATGGTGAGGGATGATGGTGAGGTACTGTTGCTTTGCATTGCAATTAATGCTTCCCCAATTTGCATTCCAATAATGAAAGTGAACTTCTAACGCACAAATTCCAGGGTCGGAGTGTCAAGCACGAGATCGGCCACGCCTTGGGCATGCGTCACGAACATAAACGCAGCGACAGGTACGCGTCAGGTGCACGAAAAAATGTCATCATTGTTATCATTATCATTAGTATTGATAAGATTTTTAGGTATATACACCGGAATGTTCATAATTGATGCTAAACTAATCTACAGGGACAACAACGTCATTGTGGTTCGGGAGAACATAGACCCTAAAATGGCCAGTAATTTTGAATTTTCTGAAACCATCAACTGCGGGATTCCGTACGACTACTTTTCTCTCATGCATTACCAGGATACGGTGAGCACAGTGCGAGCAATTGTACACTCAACATTGATTACAATTTACCTGATCATTAGACGCTTCTCAGACACCTACCCGTTACTGGAGAACTTTAGGTATGAGTTAAATTGGTCGGTTACCGGCTTAAAAGAATTAGCATTTAAAAGTGCTGCCGCTTTTATACAATAATGAATAATCACTTGTTCCCTTATAAATGCTGTCATTGATCACTGAATTCCTCCAGCACAAAATATTAAATCTTAACTCGAAAGATAGGAAGATGGTCGTATTGAAAGCACGAATATTGATTTCGTGGATTGTCGTATTGAAACCACAGGAACAATAGTCGTATTATTCTGGTATAAAGTTCAAGAGATGAGTTTTGCCTGTTTGATTTTCCATGGGTTAAAAAACTTTTTGATTTCAACAATTGGAAAAAATCTTAATGCGTTCACATGCTCTTAAGACAACCAGAGAATAACGATGTCGGGTTCGACTTTCGGGAGCACTTGCGTGTAAAACAAAGCGTACCACAAATATGAAGAATAACCATAAAATGACATGGATACATTAGATAAATAAATAACACCAAATGGTGTTGCTTAATCTTATATACATTAACTGATGTTCGAACTTTCTGTTGCAGAATTTTTTAGTTCAACGTGAACATTATTTGCTATTTTTTCAAGGTCTATTGAAAGTATTATAGTTTCTTGATGAATACAAAATCCTACTTTCTCGTTTGCATGGTAATTTCCAGTTCATCTACCGTTAAATATTTTTAATGATAATGAGTTTAAATAAATCATACTGGTTTTAACACGTGCAGGCTGCTAGCATAAACGGTAAGCGCGTGTTGGTGGCTAAAGATCCTCGTTTTCAAGACATCATGGGAGAAGGCACTGAAATCACCCACTGGAATGCAAAGCTTGCGAACACCATGTACAAATGCGTAGGTGAGTCATGGGAACACCATGTACAAATGCGTAGGTGAGTCATGGGAACACCATGTACAAATTCATAGGTGAGTCATGGGAACACCATGTTGTACAAATGCGTAGGTGAGTCATGGGAACACCATGTACAAATGCATAGGTGAGTCATGGGAACACCATGTACAAATGCGTATGTGAGTCATAGGAACATCATATACGGCTGCATATTTGAAGCTACAAGTTGTTATATATTAACTTCATTTAATCAAGATGATTGGTTGGAGGCCTGCGGTCAAACATCTGATCCCTGCGAGAACGGCGGCTACATACAGAAGGACTGCAGCTGCGCTTGTCCCCTGGGCACATCTGGCGACAAGTGTCAAGAGTTCGCCATGAGCTACAGAGGTCAGCATCGTACGGCAGCAAGTGTGTGACAACTGGCGTGATTGCAGATACACGATTTCCCTCCAGACATTTGATGCTGAAATTGCATTGATTATACGTTGTTCCAACGAAATGAACTTGTAATTAACATTATTTCGAAGTCATTTGCCTAGTGGGTTGTAAGTTCCATAAAATTTTCTCATTTGTATTTTACCGGAGTTTGTTCTGAAAATTTTTTATCGCCTCATCCAGACCTAGAGTTGAATTGCCTCGTTCCAGTTCAAATGGAACCTTTATAGCATCCACATGACCAATAATTTTTCAATAAATTTTATTTTGACCGTTTAAATTTCACCCTAGATGCCCTGCTGGAGAAGTACTCCCCGTACACATCTGTCATCAATACCCCGGGTGCAGAGGTCACGTCTCCAGGCTACCCCAATGACGGCCCACAGGAAGGTATGTGTTTCTCATGAATTAAGAATAGTTTAATTAATTTATCCTTGTTTTTATGCATGAGTCCGATTTAATCCTCGGGGTCAGCTAAACAATGTGTTCTAATTCTAATAATTTTACGTCTGCAGCACATGCTATTTCCCATGTTATTAACTGTTACCACTGGGCCACTACTCCTGTGAGCTGGGCCATCACAGGACCGTGTATTTTTCTGAGCTGGGGACGTTAAAGTTACGTCGCGTTTGAGAGCACCCTGGCTACTAGATAATAATAAGAATCTTACGCTAAAACATATTTTTAACGTTGATTTGGAATATTGAAATAATAATAAACTGCGTTGCAGCAATACGGTACACTCAAGTGATGCAGGCGCCCAAATGCAAGAAAGCGGTGGTTACGTTCACGGACTTCCAGCTCGGAGAAGAGGATGACATGCCGAACTGCAAGTACACCTCGACCCTTGAAATCCGCACGGATGTTTCCGTGGGGGATGGAAAAATGTACGAATTATTTATTAAGATGAACTCTACAGTGTACATGAATATTAACGAGTGAATGAGCAGATTCTGGAAATATTTAGATATCTATTACTGCAACACTTTACTGAAATATCTCTCATGCATTTTTGCTTTCGATTTAATAATGTTCGTTGTATTTGGAGAAAAATTAAGCCACATGACATAATCGAGTTTCACCCCCGTTGCAATTAAAAACAAAACTCATAGGTATAACTATTGAGACAATTTAGGAACCGTTCAACCTAATGCATCACACAGAATAATCTAGTCTTCGTGATATTTGGTCATCGTCTAAATCTTTGCCAATTCAGCGTCTAAAGTTAATCCCTCGTCTTCATTCTCCTTCTTTTAAAAATTTGCTTCAGATTTTGTGGTGAAGGAATCAAGAATCAACAAGTATTCAAGAGTGACAACTCTGAACTCATCTTCCACTACAAAAACTACGACTTTCTTGGCAACGGTGGCGAGAACGCGTACAGAGGCTACACAGCTGTCTTCACCACCGAGGACATACCAGGCTGCAGGTACAAGTTGAGAACACCTCACAATTGTGTACAGTACCGACTGTGTACAGTGGCGACTGTGTGCAGTGGCGATTGTGTACAGTGGCGACTGTGTACAGTGGCGATTGTGTACAGTGGCGACTGTGTACAGTGGCGATTGTGTGCAGGGGCGATTGTGTACAGTGGCGACTGTGTACAGTGGCGACTGTGTACAGTGGCGACTGTGTGCAGTGGCGATTGTGTACAGTGGCGACTGTGTACAGTGGCGATTGTGTGCAGTGGCGATTGTGTACAGTGGCGATTGTGTGCAGTGGCGATTGTGTGCAGTGGCGATTGTGTGCAGTGGCGATTGTGTGCAGTGGCGATTGTGTGCAGTGGCGATTGTGTGTAGTGACGATTGTGTGTAGTGACGATTGTGTGCAGTTGCGATTGTGTGCAGTGGCGATTGTGTGCAGTGACGATTGTGTACAGTGGCGATTGTGTGCAGTGGCGATTGTGTGCAGTGACGATTGTGTTCAGTGGCGATTGTGTGCAGTGGTGACTGTGTGCAGTGGCGATTGTGTGCAGTGGCGACTGTGTACTGTATCGATTGTGTGCAGTGACGATTGTGTTCAGCGGCGATTGTGTGCAGTGGCGATTGTGTTCAGTGGTGATTGTGTGCAGTGGCGACTGTGTACTGTATCGATTGTGTGCAATGACGATTGTGTTCAGTGGCGATTGTGTGCAGTGACGATTGTGTGGTGGAATAAATGGTTATTGCGATAGTAATCCTTAATTTTATTCAATATTCGGGCTCATGCTCATGAAATTTGAAGCAAATTCAAGATGAATCTATTTATTCCGTACTTTAGTATTCCACGCAAGAGATTCGAGTATTTAGTTCAACATATTGCACAGGACACAACTGTGTCATACAGCATTAACGCACTTCTCGCTGTGCGCCTATACATTGTGTGTGCTCACTAAAGGTATGCGCTAGAAATGTGAGCTAGAGCATGAGATAGACGTATGAGTCTACTCATGAGCTGGACGTACGAGTCTACTCATGAGCTGGACGTACGAGTCTACTCATGAGCTGGATGTATGAGTCTACTCATGAGCTGGACGTATGAGTCTACTCATGAGCTGGACGTATGAGTCTACTCATGAGCTAGACGTATGAGTCTACTCATGAGCTGGATGTATGAGTCTACTCATGAGCTGGACGTATGAGTCTACTCATGAGCAAGATGTATGAGATTACTTACAATACGAGCATGAGCGCGTATCCAAAATCTAATCCAGCTCTACTTAAATCTGTTTGGCATCTTCTTGTGCAACAAATCGAGCCGAAACATTAATGAGGCAGTGCCCTCACAACTCCGAACTATTCCACACGTAGATCTAAATAGTGATTTTCCCTATAGTCATTAACTCGATAATGTTCCTTTGTCAAGAGAAAATTCAGTTTTACCATATCAGTAAAATTTAATTGCACATCGTTTAAAAAATCTTTTGTGTAAGGATCACTTATCAGCTTGGCAGTGATTAAGTTTTCTAGCCGATCTGAAGAAATGCAAATGAAAACAGCAATGACGTATTACTTTTCTTTCCAGGTGATTTCTCCCTATTCTTTGGCTGAAGAGTCTTGGCGACAGAAGGCAACGGAATGTTGTATCAGATAATTAACTACGTTTGTTGTGTGCGAAAAAATTGTTTTGCAAATTCTAATTTTGTTTTATTTACAACAAAAATAACGAACTCGTAATTGTTAGCGCTACATGGAATTTTTTGTGGTACGAGTTAAACTGAAGCAGTTCATTGGTAAAAAACGCTTGTAATTATATCACATCAATCATAATTCAGTTGGAACGATTTATGATTTCATGCCGGATATTTGATTATTTTATTTTTAAAACTAAAATATTTATTATTGCAGTTAATGTTGCATGGAATTTATTATTGCTGTCAACTTCACAACAACCTGCTTCTGAACTACGACCTACATACATTCCTAAAATTATTTTTGGGAGCTTGCAGTATAGTCGGTCTGATATTCCCTTCAACACTGCATAGCAGAAACGTAGGGAAGTTTGCGACGTACAGACAACAAAATTGATAACCTTTGTCTTCCAAACTCTACGGCAACGGACTGTAGAAGATTCTGAGAGTTCTTAGAGATCCCTTATTCTTTAGAATTCCACAAAATTGAAAGAGTGTTGGGGATACAGAAATGATTTTTTTAATGTACGTTTTTCTGAGATTTATTGACGAACTGAAATTGTGATACACACTTTTGATACGGATTGAAATGAATGCTGTTTCAAGCGCAGACTTGTGCTGGAAAGAAGTGTTCTCAATTATTTTATTGAAAAAACACGTTCTCAAAAATGCCTCTATACATGCTGCTCACCTACACGCATTACACACCAACACGCACCACTTACCTACACTCGTCACTCACCAACACCCATCACTCACCTACACGTACGCACCACTCACTTACACGCACCACTTACCTACACGCACCACTCATCTGCACTCAACACTCACCTAGACTCACCACTCACCTACACGCACCACTCATCTACACTCACCACTCACCTAGACTCACCACTCACCAACACGCACCACTCACCAACACGCACCACTCACTTACACGCACCACTCACTTACACGCACCACTCACCAACACGCACCACTCACCTAGACGCACCACTCATCTACACTCACCACTCACCTAGGCTCACCACTCACCTAGACTCACCACTCACCAACACGCACCACTCACCTATACGCACCACTCACCTACACGCACCACTCACCTACACGCACCACTCACCTACACGCACCACTCGCCAACACCCATCACTCACCTACACGCACCACTCACCTATACGCACCACTCACCTACACGCACCACTCACCTACACGCACCACTCACCTACACGCACCACTCGCCAACACCCATCACTCACCTACACGCACCACTCACCTACACGCACCACTCACCTACACGCACCACTCACCTACACGCACCACTTACCTACACGCACCACTCACCTACATGCACCACTCGCGAGACATCAGGAATAAGATGCATCAAAGTCCAGTATTACATACATTAAAAGTGTGCAAAATGTCGTGTTAAGGGTTGCTAGCATTGAGTGCATGAACCAAATTGTTCAAAGCCAGAAATACTGAATGATTTAAGTACGGTGACAAATAGATTCTGAAGTTCTATCTCCCATTAAATTCACCTCCCATGAAATTTATCGCAAATTTCATTCTCTTGATTAGCCTTTGAGTAACTTGTTTTAAATCACTCATGGAAATAACGAATAAGTAACGTCATCTCTAAGAACTGGACATTCTGAATAAATTTAGCATATAAGGCTGGATAATAACTTGCAATTTCTATTGCAGACTGTAAGTGAGATCGTATTGCTCACTGCAACTGCGATAGTTTTGAGATATGCAATCGCTTTGCACACTGTAACTGCCCTAGTTTTGCACTCTGTGATAGATATCATATTGCACACTGTCATATTGACACTGTCACTGTCGTATTGCACAGCGATCATTTACCATGCTGTAACTGCACTCTTTTTGTGCACTATAACTACGAGAATTTCGCACACTCAGTGATCATTTTGCACTCTATAACATTAATGACGAGTTAAAGACTTTTTAGTCCACGGTCACACTGATGCGTCGCCTTCGTCGTCCTCCGTCTCCGAGTCATCGCTAGGCAGGTCACCCCGCCCTCGGGTCCCAGATGTAACGTTGGATGTGTTTCGTCTATCTGTCATCCTTTGTGCCAGCTGATGCAAGATGCTGTTGCTTGTCACTTGCTGAGGGTAGTTTTCCAAAACTGGACAATCCGGGATCTTGCGAAAAAAGCTCGTCCAGTCATCCTTTCAATGTTGCAAGAGTGAACTCCAGTTCTCCCAGCTGCGAGCATTTTGCACGCTATAACTGGGATCATTTTAAGCACTGTAATAGCGGGTATCGTTCAATAGCAATTAAACTCAGCTTGTTAGGTGGTGAACGACACCAACCACTGATTAAAGGGATTTGGTGTGCACAATGACAATGAAGAAGATGAATCTATAGACAATGAAGATAACATAACTTGAAAGTAAAAAACAGTGGAAAAATAGATTCAGTATAGTATATACTGACCAAAACAAAGTTCAAAGTGTTACATTAATGTTATCTTAGTATAGTATCTTCGGCATTGAAGAATAGGCCTGTCGCCGATTCTTGTACTTTTCTTGACTAGACTGGCCTTTCGATCAAATCTTTTCAATGTACGGCAGATTTAAAATCGCTTCTAGATTTCAGTTGTTCCGTAGGATACGAGGCATTTCAAGACTAAACATATGCTCCTGCATGGCCTTGTCTAGTCTGTTCTTAAAGCGTTCATACTCGGAGCGTCATCAATATCTTCAGGGAGGCTGTTCTACATGTCGGTGACTCGAAGCGAAAAGAAATGTTGTCGCGTGGATAAGTTGCACCGCAGTCTTTTTAGTTTGTAGCTGTGGCTGGTGTTGGTTCTTGTTTCAAATTCTAGTAATCCTTCTGGGACCTTGTACAAACCATGAGTATACTTGTATACTTCAATGAGGTCTATGAGGTCACCACGCAGGCGACGATAGCGGAGACTGGGAAGCTTCATAATCTTCAATCTTTCTTCATATAACTTGCCCTTTAAGCCTGGAATTATCCTTGTTGCACGTCTTCGAACACTCTCAACTAAATTTTTGTCCTTATCAAGTCTCAGTGACCACACAACGTTTCCAAACTCTAGGTTCGGGCGCACGACAGAGGTGAACAACAGCTTCATCATTTCTATATCTAGGTACTCGTAGGAGCATCTGATCAGCCCAAGCAGTTTATTTTATTTATTAACTTGCGTTTCAATAAGTCTAGAAAATTTTAGCTCCTTGTCGATCCAAACTCCAAGATCTTTTTCCACGCAAGGCTTCTCAATCATAACTCTCTCGTTGTAATCATGTCTTCTCATACTGTATTTTTTCTGTTCATTGTTCCTCCCGAGGTGAAGTTCTTTACACGTGTCAGCATTAAACCGCAGCTGCAGCATATCAGCCCAGTTAACTGTTCCGCTCTCGGAGTAATTATGTTAGTTCGGGAGCTTTGTGACGCACGATTTAATAAGGGGTAATGAAGTCGGCAGACTTGATCCTTGTTTCCTTATATTTCGGCGTCGAAACCTGCACGTACAGGATTCTATTAGAGTGTGAACATACAAGAAACCGAGATCATATAATGATAATTATAGTTTAATGAACGCAGTTCTAAAAGAGAGCTGCTTTAAATCGAAAATACGAAGCACCATGATCATCTAGGATGATAATTAGTTTTATGAACACAGTTCCAGAAGGGAGCGGCCTAATTTCAAGCGAGTGCAACATTCAAGACACGAGATCAATCGTACTCTACTTAATCTAATTAATCTCGTCGGTCTGTCTCATGACTCTAACTGAATACATAGCTTATAGCCTCATTATAAGACACACAGAACGGAGCGGGCAATAATGAACGGTAGAGCGATCACATCTAGCCGACACCAAATGATTCCGACAGATTTAATTATTCACTATTACTCTCATTAGCAATAACAAAATGATTTTTTTTGAGGATCTGACAGAAGCAGGCTACTGCTAGTGTACTACGTTACTGGCACCTTTACATACAGGCCGACTGCTAATGGTAATTAACAACTGCTAGGTTACAGGCCTAGTTTTCCAAACTGGCTGAACACGGTAATTAACATGACACAGGGTAAATACGTAGGTTCTTTAACTTACGGTCTTTGAGGCTCTAGAAAGACGAACGTGGACTTCAATTCTTCAATGTTTTTCTAACGAATAGCTTTTACTACTAGAAATACCGTACGATACCAGCAAATATGGAATAAAGTATTTAGACTGGAACTATAGACCATTTAACTTCACAGCACAGCAGCTTTTCTGATAATCCCATTCATTCTCAAATCGACGATATTTCCATACAACCAAGGCCCACTTGACACGCATTAGCTAAAAAAAGAAACCAAATCAATTTGCAATGATTAAATGATCATCTGTAGCAACTAGCCATTACAAAGCATTCTCCACAAGAATTCTATTTTTAGGGCAGAACAGAAACTACTAGATCTAGCTCACGACAATTTTCGCCTTGAGATGACGCTGTATTGGTTGATTTACTAAGTTAATTCAAATCAAACACTAATGGATTGAACAAATAATTCAAATATAACGGACATTCTGTGATATGCCGCTGGCTTAGAGGCGCCCATCTTGACTAAGTGACGTACAACTTCACACAACAGCTTCAGGAATAAAAAGTAATCACTGATATTCTCACAAACAGTTTCTGCTCGTTCATAAAATCTCAATCACCCAGTAAATACACATATTTCACATTTAACACATAGAAACACAGAAATAAATTTGGCACAGCTTCCCTCGTTGCCGATCCAAACTTCAACTGAGCGCGCATCGGATGATCGGGTGCGTCGCTGCTGCCGGACTTGAATTTTCCGGAATTAGCAAGCAATTCGATAATTTGCATACTACGATACTCATTTAACATTATATTTACTCTACAGTTTAAAGTTACTATCTCGAGCTCCTCGGTCAACGATATATTGATACTATTTTTACACGTTGAAATGAACGTGACATTAACTAAACTGT